TCTACTGCTTCATAGTCTGTCTCTATCAATTAACAAATACACTGTATAACTAAGTTTAATACAATAATATTATGCATTTATACAGGTGATGGAATGTTATTGTTGTGATAGCTAACCGCTATTCACAGTTAGTATGTAAACAGTGTTATGAATAAGCTTACCACTAGTTTCATCACAAAAGTAGTCCCCAAGAACTGAAGCAACGTAGTCACTGTCTCGAGGACCTATTTCTTCATTTAACAAGCGAGCAATGTCTCTTTCTGTAGCCATAGTTTTAAAAGTAGTCTTCTTTGTCTTTGTTATACTTTAAATAGTTGCTATAGAGACTCCATGGTTACCTAATGACGCATTAAAGCCCTCCGTTTTTATTCCGTGGTCGCTCCGTGTAACATTCTCCGTGCACAATCAAGGTAAAATGTCGAAGGGCTTATAACTCGGCAAAGAAGGCTTCGCTACCCCTGATTTTGGTATCAAATGAAAGGATTTTGTTTATATAACATGTTTATGTGATAAAATGAATTTCGCCCAGGTAAAGATTTTTCGTGATTATGAGCCCATAGCTCAAAATGATAATTCCCGCAGATAGCCTGGTTTTCTCATATCGGGTCACATATATGTAGTACAAGGTGTAATGTTATTATTTATTGTCTACAATAATTTGTTAGGTGGAAATTTCTTGTCCATAGATGCATTGATGGCTATAGTTGAAGAATAATCTATCTACAGGCATAGAATAACAACAAAGCTGAGACAGTTCTGCAACTTTTCAGAGACAGTGTTTCCAAATATAAACTCCCAAGTTGTGTGAGAGGTGATAAGGGCGGTGAAAATGTAGGTGTGGCAGATTATATGATTCAGTGCAGAGGTAGTGGCCGTGGCAGTTTCATTGCTGGAAAGCCAGTCCATAATCAGCAGATCGAGCGTCTATGGCACGATGTTTTTCAGGGATGTTTAGTCATGTTCTACAAATTATTTTATCAGATGGAGAATCAACTTTTTGCTAAACATTGAAGATGATATACATCTCTTTCATTGCATTACATTTTTTTAGGAAGGATTAATCATGCCTTGGGTCAATTTCTGGAGGCATGGAATTATCATCCTCTTTCTAACTGCCTTAATCACTCGCCCACTCAGTTATGGATTTATGGTCTTTGTGGACAAGCATTGGATGACAGATCAGGTATATGCAAGTTATGATATTTTCAATTCTCATTACAATCTTCATAAAATGCTCTACCATTCTTTGGAATCAATTGGAATGGTCCATTGACAGAAACTGAAGATGAAGAACATGTGCATGTACCTGTCGTAGATAACCCTTTAACACCAGAAGATTACAATGAACTGCGTCACACAGTGTCTCCCCTACACCCCAGTGACAGTTCATGAGTGGACCTTTACTTAAATTTTTTACAATTTATTTGTCAAAAAGTGAGTATGGAGTGTGACTAATGAATAATGATTTTTAACAATAACTATAACAAAAACAAATGCAATAAATGCCATGAATAAAGTAATAAATGCAATGAGTGAGCAATAACAAAAACCAATGAATCACACTAGACCAAACCCTCCATTCATAGTAAGGCCTGTGTAATGGTGTTCTATAAAGACAACATACTCTTTATGCATTGCGGGTAAGGTCAATTCCATTCCACAGGTAGAAGCTGTAGGATAAATATTATCATGACTGAAGGTTGTCACAACACTGTAACCAAGTGGAGGAATGCTATCACTACCGCTATGAAACAAGAGAATTTTCTGTAGGGAGACACAATGAGTATCGGAACCTACATATATAATTTTACACAAAAATAAAGTAGCCCAACACATGGAATTTATTACTTTCTCATTCACAGTCTTTTAAGTAGTTTACAAAGAAAATGTATGTGCTCTCTTTACAGTCCCTCATATTAGTTCCCTTGTGAGAAAATTTAATGCTTGTGAACATTTGCAGAACTATATCTATAAAAAGTGACATTATGACAATACATGTAGTTAGATCAAACCTGATATCAAAGGTATTTCTTTATTACAGTAGAAAGACTTGAGTAAATTTTAATATTTTTCAAGCATCTCCTACATCCCTTCAATTTTCAATAAGCCATCACGAAACTGAGAAATCTCACCCAAAGAAGATAGAATAACGAAATGAAGCACCACAGTAGCAATGATTTGATCTTTATTACTGAGCAGAAGTGTAGCTATAGGCTTAGTAAATTTACTTGTAAAAATAATATCTCGATTAGTTGTGACCAACTCATTTTGGCTAGAAATATCTTCACAGGATTTGATCTAAAATATTTTGAACTATGATGCATAACAAATCAACATATATACCGTTTGCAAAATAGCTCGGATATTAGTGTCCAACTTCGGCAATCTCAGGTCTCAAGTCTGTTGGATCTACTCCACATATGTATTTAGAAACAGATTGAGATAGCATATTCATTGCTCCACCACCATGAGTTGAAGCCATTCCGGCTAGAATACCAATCTTCAGATACACATTATCCTAAAAATAAAATGTTATTTTATAGCTACATAGTATAATTAATGACTATGGTACAAGTTTAGCTAACTATAACAAGCATGCCATATAATAGAAACAATTACCATATATTCTGTAATTAAAATATACCTGAAATGCCAATGAATCATGTCTCAAACAA